TGTCAATTAGTTTTTTATTTCTCTCTTTTTTTATTGATTCGTAGCTTATCTAAAATTTTGTCTAAAGTTGAATTTCTTTTGATGTTGACACTTGTGCATCGTAAAAAGTCTATATGAATACATCTATTTGGAATTTTGACTATCTAAAGCATGGCAAGAACGTCGTTGACACCCCAAAACTTCTTCATTCATATCATATAGAATATAAAATAACATGTACATTTATCATATTTTTTCTGGCAGAAGCGAGATAATTCAGCCTGTAATTGCAAGACAGAACTTAAAATTCTCAAAACAGAATTTCTGAGAAGCGACACCAGTTGAAAAGGTACAATTCAAGTCAATGGATCTAACATCAAAGATAGACCGAGGACTATTACATCTCGCTGTTCTTGTTGGATGTATGCCACGACCTTTGACCGTAAAAAAGCAATCAAAATCCGAAACTAACAAACAATACATACAACTCTTATGAAATACATGTAGGTCACATGACTTGTATGTATTAAATATAATCTTTTTATGACGCCATCCATGCACTGTCTGCACTCGTTCTGCTCTGTTATCCAATTGATCAAAATGTTGTCCTGTATATATCTGAAATATATGCCACTAGACGATAATGAACTAGAATGGTCGATAAATTGCTGTTTTCCTAATGTTCAGTAGTTGAATATTCAAGCACCTTGAGGACTAGAAAAAAATTAACGACAGTACAGTGTTGAGTAGGATAAGAAATCATAGCATTACAAAGGGTCACCTATTGACTTCTCATTGAGTTACATCACTTATTCCTTAAAGTGCAAAAAGCTCTAATGCGAGGTATTGAACTTATCGTCATTGTTTCATACCGGACATGACTTTATTTACATGCACATTATAAAAACGGATGTTCAACACCGCACGATTATCACAGCCGGACATGAAATTCCAAGAAAGTAGATTTCTGATCCCTATCCACCTTTTCGACAACCAACCAATAAGCAATTCAATTGTTTACAATTAGGTAAAAATGTAAATTAAACCCATAACGAGATATTATTTAAACTAAATGTTTATAGACATGCGAAATGGGAATAAAAGCAAGAACTAAATATTTTTTGTCGTCTGTTTGATTTTATAAAACACTTCAGATGTAATATAGTAATGTGTTTAAATGTAATTCTAATTTAAAAAAAGATGAATATATAATTGCAATTTCCGGTAATATAACGCATTAATACCAACAATTAAAGTTCTAACCATCATATTAAAAGTGCGTTTCAGAAGTGACATTTGACACAAATAACTAACCAATCAATGTTTCAACTTATAAAAGACTCTGACATAGAAATTATTTTTTCGGATCAATTCAATGATTTAAAAACAATGAATGAAATCATCGTCTGGTTTCTTCAAGAAAAACACATCTTTGATTTAGAATATAGAAGTATAATCATAAAAATAAGGAGATGGCCACAGACCACAATTAAATTCTCTATTAGTTCTTTATAAAGTTTTGTTTCATTAAAAACATTGCACCGATTCTTTTTGTCAAATATTTTGTGTGTGTAAAGTACAGTACTAGTCCAAACATACATGTATATCCAACATTCAGAAAGATTGCTCCCCAGTATCTTACAAATTTAGCCAATACACATCCATACTCCTATGGACAAGTCAAGAGATGTTCCGAAAACTGTAAATATCACCTTTTTGCACCTGGCCTAATCACTCTTTCCATATCAAAATCAGTTAAAATACAACATCCAAAAGTTTATTTCACCTCTCTTCTTTCATTTCCATCCAAAAAAAAACTAAGAAATGAGTGAGGAAGGGAAAGAAAAAATTTTAAAAAAAATACACTTTAATTAAAAGGAACTATATTCTCCAGATGTGGAATGATTGCCAATGAGATAACAAATCCCGAAGGACAAGGATGTGAACAAATACAGATCAACGGACGGCCTTCAACATTGAGCAAACTCATACCGAATAGCTAGCTATAAAAAAAAAGCCCTGGAATTATAGAAAAGTATTTTTTTACGAGATTTTATGATAATATTGACGGTATCAAACTTACTGCACCAGACGTGTATTTCGACAGATAATGCCTCTTCGTGAATGCTCGACGCCAAAATATTTGAATATCCAAAATCTAATACAAACTCTGAAGAGTTTATACGACCCCAAAAAAAGAACCAAATTAAAGGTAAAGGACAAGGAACAGAGCCATGCATGAAGAAAATACCTTAATTTCAAATGATTTTCCAAGATTTATAACAGAAAATTTCAATTAAGCAATATTCGTATTTTCATGCAAGTAAACAGAAGTACTGCGCCGCTGATATCCCCGAAAATATAAATGTACAAATAATAACAGAGGTAAAATTTAAACACATGATCAATCACTTTAAACATTAGGCAAATGCAGAAGTTCATGCCAAGTTGATGATTCTGAAATATGAGTTACATGTACTAATTAAACATTGTGTACCAAATCAGGAACTTATTGTCCATTTAAGCATTGATTGAAATATCATATCGTTTGTTGTGTTTTTACTTTAAATTCATTAGCAGTTTGTTAAAAGTTTGATGATTTGGTGGTGACAAATATGCCTCGTAAAAAGACCGTATAAAGACATCTATATGTCTATTTTGAGTTTCTAAAGTGGTAAATAAACTTCTTTACTTATATCATACACTAGTAGCATATAAAACAGTAAACCAGATATATGTTCTCTGATGGAAGCGAGACAATTCAACCTGTTATTGCCATATCGAACATAAAAGTCTCAAAACAAAATTTCTGAAAAACTTATCGCAACACCAGTGATTTCGTTTCAAACAGTGCAAATCAACTCACCAGCGAACCAACATCACAAATGTACAGAAGACTATAACACCTCGCTGCTGCTGATGATATGCCTTTGACTGCAGTTGGTATAACAGTACTTTTATACAAATGTTCTCACGAACATTTCTATTGAGTAATATCTTAGTCTCAAAATAAATATATTTGCCACTGGACGTAAGGCAAACAGCAATAAATCAATTAATATTCATAACAATTTTTTGGAAACAAAGAACTCTTTAAAAATTTGTTTGAAATCAAGCCGCAATTCAAAGATTAACTAATGTGTGTAGTGGAATTGGATTTTTTTTTTTAAATAAAACGCCCTTAAATAATTGCTTTCGAACCAATCAATACACACCAAGGTGTGTTTTGACATAAAAATTCATATCAACTGTCCTTCATTGCCTATGTATGGTTTATGCATGTACATGTACCACGGTAGTCCGCCTGTCCTTTAGAGAGCATGCACAGTCGCTGACATATAAGTCTGGTTTTTTTTCTGCCTGAACTAATCTTATCGCTATGAACATTTTATGGTCGATCTTTATCAGTTGAGTGTGTCAAAAATGCTCATAAACATATTTGAGACAGTGTGTTGACCTCTAGGTGTATATTGATAGTTTTTTCGTTGGGTTGCTGTCTCGTTTTATAAAACCATCGCAAATGTGAAAGGTGTTTCACGTGAAGCAGGATACGCTTACTTCATGTGAGCATCAGATATTACTCTCCTTTTTAGTGAGATTGTTATTGTTCAAAGCATTGGTTTTGTGTTCCCTGTTCATATACATAACCAACAAAAAAACTCTTTACATCTTTATATTTGTTTAGTCAGTGCACTTGTCCTCTCTCTTGGATTGTTGTTTGTCTGTTCGTTTGGGGTTTTTTTTTCTTTTGGCCGTCGTGTCTATTTTTCTTCGACATATGAACTTTGATTACTCCCTTGGTATCTTCCACATGCTGAAATTAGTAAGTATGACACCCTCAACGGAGTATTGGGGTGACATATTGTTATTCTACGTTTCTTTTTTCTTATTTTTCTTTTTCTTCCACACATTTTGTCCACGCTAGTTCTCGGAATTTGATGGAACTGTACTATGAGGACCCCCATGTGAAGTTGTGCACCTGACTTTGCAATGGTTCAAGATGGCCACTGTTTTCATGGAAACAGCAAAAATGTCCAAAAATTCAAAATGCTTTAAAGAGACTTAAGCTTCACAAAAATGTTGATTGGCATATGTGAATGTGCCATTTGATTTTGGAATTTCTAAAATGGGTACCGTTGCCATGGAAACAGTAAAAATGTAAACAATTCAAAAAATGCTCCAAACTTTCTGAAAATTTACAGAAATGTTAACTAGCATGTGAAGAGTTGATATTTGACTTTAGAATATTCAAAATGGCCACCGTTACCATGGAAAAAGCAAGAATGTAAAATATTGAAAAATGCTTCAAACCTTCTGAAAATTTACAGAAATGTGTGTCGTCATGCATATATGTGCATTGACTGTTTAAAATTTTCAAAATGTCTGCAGTTTATTGGCAATAGGCGGACGAGGGTGCCATCCGCTATTGCTTGCAATTGCAAATCTAGTTCTTTTTGTTATTAAAGACGATCAAATCAAGTTTTAACAAATGAAAGAAAAGGTAGTATTTTGTTAACTTTATAAAGTCTCGTACGTCTTTAATGTTTCAACAGATCATTCAATTAAATTCTGAATACATCCTACAGCTTCGTTTATTCCAAAGATGGTAAATGAGAGGCGGCAGAAGCATACCGAATTTCAAAACTACTTAAATTCGTTTGAAATATAAAATTAAGATATTAAAAAAGCTGGGGCGAAATGCATTAACTCCTAAACTGAGTGAGACCGGGTACGACGACAGGGTAAGCGTCTCCTGATATGCATGCAATATTATACCCGTCAGGAAATTCCAAAATCAGACAAAATATCACCATATGAATAACAAATCGCACGATTATTCTGGTATTTAAGATCTAAGACCACGAAAACAAGTCTGTCGTAAGTTGAGATACAGAAACATAGTTTCGGTCAACAATTTCATGATTGTAACCGTAATACTTGTGAAGTGTTTATTTCAGTCAGTCTTTCTCGTAACCCTGGTGGCAACTGGCCTTTCAAGTAACAAATACAGAAGGCAAATATAAATATAAATGAAGCGTCTGTATTGAATTGTTTGAATAATTCTGCCTGCAGAACAAATGAACTGTATTTTTATAAGTATTTTGTATAGCACCGCAATAATCTCACAACATAAATTATATAAAACTGCACATGTACATCATCTTTATCTATATTCAGTATTTTGATTCTTCAGGTGAGTCTGACGTGGTATTGTCTTGGTCGTAGACAGGAGCATTTCCAGGTGGTTTCCTTTCTACTCCAATAAAAAGCAACAGACTGTTTTCAGTTGGAGGATGGTCTCTTCTCAAGAGATATATATTATACGCCAACTCAGCTGCCATTATAAAAAATGTTATGAATCCAAAAGCCTGTAATCGAAATAAAGTAAAATGGATACTTTCAGAAACATTATTTATTTATTGATGTTATAATATTTCTGTAAATGATTAATAATATGCAGTTTATCTACCTGAAGATTACCTGGATTTCTGGTACTTATGAAACGGGAACCTTCACTGAGATAGCTGTGTCAGTGGAGTATTTGTTAACAGCGCGTGCAATATTGTTGTTGAATAATACAAAACAAATATTGTTTCACATTTTGATATATCGGGACCTTTTAAAGCTGACTATACAGATAAATTGAGAATGGAAATGGGGAATGTGTCAAAGAGGCATCAACCCGACCAAAGAGCAGAAAACAGCCCAAGGCCACCAATGGGTCTATAATACAGCGAGAAAATCCCGCACCCGGAAGCGGGCTTCATCTGGCCCCTAAACAAAAATGTGTACTAGTTCAGTGAAAATGGACGTCACACTAAACTCCGAAACATATAAATGAAATAAAGTTAAAAAAAACATACAAGACTAACAAAGGCCAGAGGCTCCGGACTTGGGACAGGCGCAAAAATGTGGCGGGGTTAAACATGTTTTGTGAGATCTCAACCCTCCTCTATACCTCTAGCCAATGTAGAATAAACAAACACACAGCAATACGCGCAGTTAAACTCAGTTCAAAAGAAGTCCGAGTCCGATGTCAGAATAGGTAACAGAATAAACTAATCAAAATGACAATGATACATAAATTAAAAAGGAATACTAGCAGTTACTGACATGCCAGACCCAGACCTCAATTAAACTGATTAAAAGATTATGTCTTCATCATATGAAAATCAAGCACAATCCCTCTCGTTAGGGGTTTAGTATCGTACCATCATAAAATATATGAGAAGAACATAACCCGTATCATGCCAACAACTGGTTTTAGAATAAATGTGTTTATTTCCGATGCAAAGATCCTATGAGTGCATCAATATTAATTCCAAAATATGCCATCTCCAATGACTTGACAACAGTATCGTAACTATATCCCTTCTGAATAAGTCTGTTTAAAGGTTTTGTTAGCTTTTGATGTGAATGACGACATGTTTGTGCTTTGTACTATAGAATATTACCATAAAAGATTGGATGTGAAAAACCTGAACGTATAAGATGTCTGCATGTTGATTTATATTTACGAATGATGTCCTTGTACCGATGATAAAATTTAGTAAATGTTTTGACTAGTTTGTGATATCGAAAACCCTGGTGTAATAATTTTTCAGTAATACAGAGATTTCTTTCGTTAAAATCAAATACGTTGTTACATACACGAGCGAATCGAACAAGTTGAGATTATGTTTTGCTCATTGTTGAAGGCCGTACGGTGACCTATAGTTGCTTACACCTACGTCATTTGTACTCTGCTGTATAGTTGTTTCCTTAGCAATCATACCTATTCTCCCTGTTTTCATATTGTCACTTTTCTATAATAATAAAACAACATATGCACACGGGTGCTACGATGATATAAACTGAAGATACCGTCTTTCTATATATCATGGCTCTTCTCGTTATGAAGATGCCTGTTCTAGTGTCTGCTGGACGTTTAGCAACTGACTATCAATTATTCATTCTAGATCATCAAAATGATAAGTAATCTATAGTGTGTGGAAGTAAAGTGTGCTAAACGTAGTGAAGAGATGCTGGCAATTTAACAATTTTGAATTTCTCTCTTGTCTAAATCATTTTTGATTTGTTATTACGCATTTATAAATTCGATATTAGATACAATGTATTTTATAATAATGAAAAGGCAAAAATCTTTATAACGATTTCTAGAACTCGTGAACACTTCAGTAAGTTAAATCTATCATGATAATAAATTCTTCAATTCATGATCATATATAATCATTCTCGAATTCGTAAGAACGAAATATATTCGTTACAAAGAATGCTGATATTCGTGTCAAAGGATTCAAAAATTCCTTAAGATAAATTAATTCCTAAACAGATTCGTAAATGTTGAGCATGATCATGCATGGATTCTACAATTATACCTTCTCCAATTCGTTACAACGAATTGATAGTATTTTGGGCTAAGTTATGATTAGGCTTTCGTATTTGTATTAGCTATTGGGTATATTTCCTATAGCTGTTGGGTAATTACTCGTTTGAATTGTTTCACATTTTGTCACATGACTGTCATGTCGTGGACTTGTATAACTGACTATACGACTTGCGTTTTGCTCATCAATCATACCACATCTCCATATTTTATGTACATGTCCTTTGAAAATTGTCTGATTTAGACATAAGCTTAAAGATGTTTCGATATCTTGCCATATAATCTTTTTGATTCTGAGTGTACTTACTGCTGCCGCTTTGTATCCTCCGTGTAATTTTCCACAATCATTAGCAACAACTGCTATAGATGAGATAAAGAATGATACTGCGAAAAACAAGCTTACTGCTGGGTTCTGAAATTATAGTGAAATTCAAACACGATATAGCATTTCGTTTCATTATTAAACAAATAAAAAATACACGTACATGTAATTCAATTTGTTACAAGCTGTTGTGTGACAATTTTGCAATAATAAACATAGGCGGATCCAAGGGGGGTTGGGAGAGGGGGCCTGGCCCCCCTTTTGTGGGAAAAATTTGGTTGATTATATAGGGTATCACTGAAGCATGACTGGAGCGGGCCCCCTCTTAGGGCAGTCAGTGGGCCCCTTTATGATAATTTCTTGATCCGCCACTGATAAATTCGTTTATTCTAAAAAAGAATATATGTTACTATAATAACGAACGATTCCAATAACAGTGCATACGACACGGTGTCTATGGAATAGCCTCAATCAGATACGCTAGTGACATACGACACGGTATCTATGGAATAGCCTCAATCGGATACGCTAATGACCTACGACACGGTGTCTATGGAAAAGCCTCAATCGGATACGCTAGTGACCTACGATACGGTGTCTATGGAAAAGCCTCAATCGGATACGCTAGTGACCTACGACACGGTGTCTATGGAAAAGCCTCAATCGGATACGCTAGTGACCTACGACACGGTGTCTATGGAAAAGCCTCAATCAGATACGCTAGTGACATACGACACGGTGTCTATGGAAAAGCCTCAATCGGATACGCTAGTGACCTACGACACGGTGTCTATGGAAAAGCCTCAATCAGATACGCTAGTGACATACGACACGGTATCTATGGAATAGCCTCAATCAGATACGCTAGTGACATACGACACGGTATCTATGGAAAAGCCTCAATCGGATACGCTAGTGACCTGTGACACGGTGTCTATGGAAAAGCCTCAATCGGATACGCTAGTGACATACGACACGGTATCTATGGAAAAGCCTCAATCGGATACGCTAGTGACCTGTGACACGGTGTCTATGGAAAAGCCTCAATCGGATACGCTAGTGACATACGACACGGTATCTATGGAAAAGCCTCAATCGGATACGCTAGTGACCAAAAGTATGGGAAGCCAAAACATAAAACAATCATGAACATCGAAATAAAACCAATATCAAGTGATCAGTCGGTATATAATGGACAGGAATTGGGTGAAACTAGATATAAAGTAAAAAGAAAGTCAAATGCCTTGTTCTATGTTGTGGAAAAGAAGATGCATAATTACTTACCCATATTAGCCACGGGAATACCCATAGCAGACGTGTATTCAGATTGAATATGTATATTATGTATCGAAGTATATATGTGATGAAGCAGGACGCAAAGGCAAAATTGTAGAAACCATAACTAGCTGTATACGCTGCGAAACAGTCAACTCTTTTTGCTGCTCCTAATACTATCAAACATAGCAACGAAAATACCTGCAAGTAGAAATATATGTATATAATTATTCGTTGATTGTTCTTCATTAAAGGAGAAAGCAAAACACTAAAGCATAATCAATATAAAAATAAGAAGATGTATTATGATTGACAATGAGACAACTCTCCACCAGAAACCAAAAAAACTAGAAGTTTGCAACTATAAATCACCGTATGGCCTTCAACGATGACCAAAACCCATACATTATAGCAAGCTATAAAAGGCCACAAAATGATAAATGTAAATCAATTCAAACGAGAAACCTATATAATGTCCTGATTTAACACAAAATAATAAACGAAAACCAAATATGATGTTAGCAACAAATGACAACCAGACAATGTGCATGTTGATTTAGTGTTGTAAGCTTAACGTTTAGTAGCAAACATTGCATGCAATTCAAAACGAAGACAAATAAAAAAATCCAATAGGTAGATTTTGTTAATTGAAAGGTGGGAAATTGAGAATGCCACTGGGAAAAGAGGGTTAGTTTGATAAGTTCAGACAACTACGTCAAAAAGTCTCATAGTTGTTGCAATGGTTATTAAAACGTGCAGGGAGCCTAACACTCACCGTACATGAGGCATCGGATTTCAATCCATTTCCGAATTTCAACAAGACGTAGATTCGTATTTATACTTATCTTACCTCCTATACATTTCTGGGAATATCATTGGTTAAAAGCGACCGCGGAGACCCTGTATATTTAATATGGGGTTAGTATGCGTGGTTTATTTTAGTACACGGTTAGTAGTGGTGTTATGTCCCTTAATAAAAACAACACGGCGTTCATGAAAAATCTAAAACGTTTCACCCGGACTACAGATGAACGATTCAAATAAATGCAGAAAATACATTAAAAGCTAACAAGTTGTTATTGTAAGCATTTGTTTTTGTATAGAACAATGGGAGTAGGTTCTTTATATTGAAGACTTGATCTCTTTGATAGGCCACTTATCTAAATGCCACATGTTAAGAGAGTCGGTAAGATAAATTCGTTACATAGTGTGCTATTGACCAAATACGATAAAAATGGGGTCAGTAAATTTCATATGGGATGAGAGCGAACTATCATCCCATATGGAATTTACTGACTTACTGTCCCCATATATATCGTATAAGGTCACTAGCACACTGTGTAACTAATAATATACATCCCGGGTAGCCAAACAGACACCCCTCTGTAGCATAGGTTTAACGGCAGAATATGAGGTCAATATGACCATAGTTTTATACCCCAGTCAACCTTTGGGATAAATAAATTCTGAAAAGCTTATAAATTGTGAGGAAAAATTACGGAAAGTTTGGCATGGTGAGATTTTTTCCTTGGAACAGGCTATCTATATACCCCTCTGACGAGCTGCAGAAAATGGGTGATTTTAACTTCTCGGGTCTTGGAAATCTCACATAGCCGGATTTATGTTGTATAAATGTATAATGTCGATGAAAATGACATGTACTAAATAAGTCGTTCTTTATACAATTGAACCCTATGTGGAATACTGGCTTACAAAGAACAAATGAACTTTATACATAAATACAAATCATAGGTAATTATCGACGCTTATTTTTAAATTCTGAAACTAGTCAGTATTGCTTCTTAACTTGATACGATGATCTTTGTAGTACCAAGTATAATTTAGCAGGTGTTGCTAGTGTGAGGGTTGAGCTAAGATAAGTTATAATTTCCCTTTGGTCTTAAACTATTTTAAAAGCTCTGTGCTGCACTTTTATCCTAAGTCATGGAGGGTTGAGCTAAGACTAGTTATATTTTACCATTGGTCTTTAACTATTTTAAAAGCTCTTTGCTGCACTTTTATCATAAGTCATGGAGGGTTGAGCTAAGATTAGTTATATTTTACCAGTGGTCTTTAACTATCTTAAAAGCTCTGTACTGCACTTTTATCCTAAGTCATGGAGGGTTGAGATAAGCTAAGTTATATTTTACCATTGGTCTTTAACTATTTAAGCTCTATGCTGCACTTTTATCCTAAGGCAAGGTTTTGTCTTCCTTTTGTTTTGTTGCTATTTGTTTTCTCAATTTTATTTCGGAATCTAATGCTATGTATGTAACTAACAATTTACAATATATGTACGTACTATTAAAACAACATTAAATATTCCTCCTATACTCTTTATAAAGGTCAAACTAAGGTCACATTTCCACACTTTGATCTTCTCATCTCCACTTGCTTGGTTTGTATCATTCTGGTTTGTTTCATCATACGAGGGTGGTTCATTTTCCATGGCTTGAAAAAAAAATCCCTGGTATAAGCACTGAGTAGTGTCTGTTATGTAAGTATGAATGAAGGAAATGATGTGGTCTGTGTCTGACTCAATAAAACAGCAATGAACCAGAAAATGACATGTAAGGTCTTCAACATAAGACATATGTCTATAATACCATACGTCATGCTCTTAGTCTTCCCACGCCCAGAACAGTCATGAATAAATTGTATCTCCCGATCCCAGAACAGTCATGAATAAATTATATCAGAAACTATAATATTTGATTTCCTTGATTCCTTGCAAATGCAGAAAAGTTCCAATTTTTACAATGTGTACATGAGTATAATAAACAATTATTTTGTATAACCTGTTATTTGTTTTACGAGCAGGGTCATGTTTACCGAGTTCATAAATCTTTATACAGATTCAAAGTATCACAGCTTTATGTTTGTGTTTAAGTTTCTGACAACATATATTATATTTCTGAACATTTATTCAAACTAAAACAGCTTTTATAATTGTAAATAGTTTAAAACTGTAATTGTGACAGTGTTTGCGCGTATTTTTTGCAATAATGCATGTTGGGTGCGGGAATTTCTCGCTGCATTGAAGACCTGTTGGTGACCTTCTGCTGTTGTCTGTTCTATGGTCGGGTTTTTGTCTCTTTGACACATTCCCCATTTCCATTCTCAATTTTACTTAAAGGATGTGTGGTGCATATACATCAATGTGACTGCTACCTAATGACACAAATAAACCTAAAGACATCAATGCGGTTTTAAACAATAAAAAAAACATATACATGTACATGTACACAATATTTAAACGCTAAATCGTTCCGAGTTTAGAAGAAAAAAGTGTGAATAAATTGAACAGCGACTCTCAAAGATATGCCATTAATATTAAATTTCCAAAATAAGAAAAAAAAACATGATATATATGTATATTGTGCCGAATTCAAGTTGAAAAAACGTTTACCTATAATTCATAAAAACCGTTTCATAAAATCTAATGTTACTTAAGGTGCATATACAAATGAAAGGAAGTATATTAATCTAATTAGATCATTGTTTATTAGTCAGAATCAAGTATTAACAAATTGTCTTTATGTAAAAATCAATTAATAACAAATTATTAGAAATTAACACATGTAAATACAGCGGACGTGAAGGTAAATGATTGCTTAATTAACTTACCTATGCAGTCTATAAACAAACAAAATAGTTACAGGCAGGTGTAATTACAATCAATTAATTAATGAAGGGTGTTGTATCTCCCTATGGCTGAATTTGCTAAATGCACTGTACAGGAAACCAATTATACACTATTTAGTTTTGTTTAACATATAAAACTTGAGGATTCCATTCCAACTTCATAATGTACAGAAGTGTATCATATAAGAAGATCGTTGGTAACTATATATATATATATATATACATTTCCGATAAGTATGTTCATAAGCATGTGACATTGTTTTGGTCCTTTTTTTGCATGACTATTGGTAAGTATCTATTCATAACTATTGGAACAATTCTTAGTCATAATTGAAAGACATAGATATAGAAAGTTTATTTAAAGTCGATGTACATAATTTACAAGTAACATAAGCTCTGTAGAGTTTATAAACCGACACAAGTAAAGGGAAATAACTCGAAAATTTCTGTCAAGAATACGCCCATCTGTTTAGATATGAGAATACCTCCGCTGGAATTCTTTATTTTTATATTGAGAAGTATTATATACTTTTTTTTTAAAGATGTAACAAAATAGTAATGATTGAAACAGAAGTTAACATGAAAATATATGAGGGAGATGCATGTGGTACAAAAGTCCAAATAAATGAGTAAATGTAAACAACAACAGTTTTCTAATGATGAACATACTATTAAAGTTGTCAGTCAGCAAACAGTTTATGAATATCCCAATAAATCGAACAAAAAAGACCTGAACATGGCGGTTTATTTGCTTTAACCTTGATATCTATGTTAAATCAATCCACATTCTTCATTTTTGTTTTACTTCAATCTAATTTCAATAACTTATTGTTTTGATTTTTTTCTAGTTTTTTTTCAGTCTTAAATAATCATAGTTTACATATAACCGAAACTTTCTTACATAAACAAGAAGTCTTACCTCACAAGGGTTCAGAGTTTCACACACAATTCATTGGTCATGAACTCACTCTATGTTTGTATCTTTTAGTACGATGTACGACCTATATTTTTATCATATTTGTACCATGCCGTGAATAACTATCTTTTATTTACCTTTGGACAGTATATAGTATCTAAATAAACAAATAAACATACATGTACAATGCAGATTTTGAAGGTAGTAATTCCGACAATCCAGTCCTGATTTAACACTTTAAAATTATTGAAAAAAATAGCAAATCCAAACAGTATTTTAAATATGTATAGGGACGAATTAGAATTTCATAATAAAATAACAGTGAAATATATTCCAGACATTTCCAAATAAGTACCTTTATGTAAAGACATAGGTCTTTGGTTTTGGTTACTATATGTCTTTCTAGTATTAGAGTAAATACTCGGAATTAGAATATTGTCGGTGTATCCAAAGGGAGATTCCTAGTGTAAGAACCCCATATTTAGGATTTTCTTTCATATTAGCGTTAAAAAAAGACAAACTGATTAGGATGAAACCCAACCTTACGCCCATTTTAGTCCAAGTGGAACCCATATATTAGACTTTTCTATGAACAAAAATGTCTTGATCTGTGCCATAACACCGTAGTTAAAACATTAATTTTGTAGCCATTTTGTGACCTTGCATATTATCTATAAACTGTCACGGAATCGAGTCTCTTAAGTGTAAACACTTATAGGAGGATGTAAAAACTGCAGAGAAAAGAAAGATTACTTTTAAGAATTGTTATTTTAACTAAGCAAATTATTATGCATACTCGTTTTTCATACACGTGGGAATAAAAAAAATAAGAATTAACATATTTACAAATTAATCCTTCTAATCTGTTAAAACCATTATGCATGATATGACTACCCAAGCTGACTTACATCATTAAAAAGCGCGCGCACCAGATGACTGACATCAATGCACGCGCTAGCATCGCGTACAGTTCAACATGACAGAACACGGACGCTGACACACTGAACAGATCTATATATGACGTCTATATTACATATACATTTAAACGTAGGCAATGACACTAACGGATACAGTTCACATGAACTACTGACAGGATATGAGTTGAACATTTCAATTTAAAAGTATATAAAATATTTCCGATTTATAATTGTCGATTATTTTTAGCATAACATGTTTACGTCTGTGTACGATAATTTAATATTTTAATAATTATAAATTTGAATAATATTTTGTTTGGGTTATGGAAGGTAAGTTAACTTTTCTTACAAGAATGAGTTACTCAAAAAATAAAGACGAATGTACTTGAAGATGAATGAAAATGCAGCTAAGTATCATTTCTAAAATATTGAACTTCCATACACTGTAAAATTTTAAAGCAAAACAATGTTTTTATTAATGTTTTTGTTCGTTGGTTTGCTGTCACATTTACGTATAACCAACATCTCTTAATTGTTTTGATTCTTTTCACTGTTTATGTGAATTTAAATTGACATAACTATGCATTACTTTAATTTTGTCCACTTCAACTTTGCTAAAGTCCACTAAAAAAAACTATTTATCGAAAGTTTTGGTCAAGAATGCGATTATTTTGGTGGTGGTATAATTTAGACTTCGATCGTGTATTTTACTAATTTTCACAAATAATACTATCTGAGAACACAGTTTGTCACTAGTACTTGTAAACACTATCATTCATAGGTCCATTCACATCTTATTACAGTACTTGACGTAAACAACATCAACATGCATCTTCATATTTGCTAAGTTGATAAAAATAAAATAATTATTTGATAATTTAGATAACAAGCGATGTTACCAGTAGTAGGCCAGCACGGTTATATCGTACCTACAGAGATCACATGACTTTTATCTTTATTTTCAGAAATATACAATACAGATTTATATGTGAAACAGGTTAATGCTGTGGACAGTTCACGAATAAATTCATTAACTATGGTTGGATTATCGAAATCTGGGTATCTCGAGGTCAAACAACCTTCAAATATTAAAGGACGAAAATTAAAGGTAAGATTTTCATTATTACTTAAATTGTTAATTTAGTAGTAATTCATTAACTTGAAATTATTATAAATTGTTTGCGACAGCATTAAATTTAAGGTTATATCAAATATTAAATTTTCCTTATGAGTTGAAAATCCCGGTGGATATTGCAAGCCTTTCATTAGATTTGTCTGGAAAGGACCTGTTGCAAGGCTACATTTCTCATCCTAAAAATATGCCCCTATTTTTGTCCACTTACTTTTCCAGAAACCATGCAACAAGTTGATTTATTGTATAATTTGATATTTTCCTGAATGTACATGAAATATTCACTTCTATGCGTTAAGGAAGCATCCATCAATCAATCAGTTATGAAAACAACAACATTTAAACATGCATTATACGGGCATTAGATAAAAAAAAAAAGCAACTTAAAATAGACATATCGTGCATAGATACAGAATCTGATAAAGATTAATAGAACAGCTGTGACATTACAACATGGGGCTAACTGTCCTCAGCTTTTTTTTTTTTTTAAATAAAAAAACCATAAATTTTTGTATGTAAATAAAAGGAATTAAAAGTAAACATCAAAACTATATGCAGTGTTCGATGTCTTGAAATGCCATATTTTTTTTTTATTAGAATGTACATCATTAGAGATGATTTCAAGAGGGAATATTGTTATTTTTTTCTCACTTGCGAAGTATATGCATGTCCTCAATGGTTTGCAGTAAGGTTTCAACAATGACAATAACCAAATGAAATTGAAATATTGTCTCTCAAAGAGTGCCAAAATTTTGTGTATGCAAACAACTTAATAATCTTTATGCAGTATATATGAAACTGCACCTTTTAATCTTATAAGAAAAGAGGATTTCCAGCCCTATTTGCATTCTGAGAGTGTTCCTTATTAAAACTATATTAACATGAAACGATAATCATCAGTGTGTGGTAGCAGTGATACTACTCAAATTATAATAAAACCATCTTTATACCATTTCACTTCAAAAGTAATCCTCTACAGAAAGCCACATGAAATCGTTCTGAAAAAAATAACGGTTTATGTAATTATGAACCCATAAACGTCTGAACATCTGTGTAATTATAAAACATTTAGTCGAGATAAAAACTATAGTGCATAAAAAATTAGCAAATCATTTATAACTAGTTAAATACTGGTAAAAATTAAGAATGACACTAAGTAAATTCAAATTATAAAAGACGAACGAATAAAATTAAAATAGTTTGATGGTAAATCAAACGACCAATCAATCAATCAATCAATCAATCAATCAAAAACAAAACAAAACTGCTCCTATTTCAGCATATTAACACAAATCTTTTTGTTGATTTTCCCAAGTCGTGAAACAACAAATTTCTTCATTTACATAGATTCGCCTTTTATTTCAGACATGGAAGAAAAAGTTTGTTGTAGTTCATAAGATGACAGACTTAGCCGCTGGAACCTTTGCAGCAAAGTTCTTGCTTTATAACGACGAAGATGATTCAAAACTGACAACAAGTGATAAACAAGCATACATCTTTGACCATGTCACATCAGTAGAAACAGCCAAGTCAAAGACACGCCCACTGGCGTTCAAAATTGTGCAGGAAGCGCCTGCTTTGATGTTGTCAGCAATGTCGGAACAGGAAACAAATGACTGGATGACTTCTTTGAAAGAACTGTTCTGGCCAGATGAAAACAAGCCACCTGGTGGTATGTGAATTTTTCGTGCATTGTTATCTTTTGTGTTACTTTGAATGGTGGTTTTTAGATGTCTTTTTTTATAAACTTATGATGTTGGATTGTGATCTTACTGATGTTGATATAAGTATTATATATATTCACAAATACAAATTTTAAGTTCAGCGACACAATTAGTGTTATAAATATAGCAAAATGATTCATTTGCAATGCTTTTAAATTAATTGTTTCGAACTAGTGAAAAATGAGACGCCCATTATTAGTCTCAACATTTAACACTTATAACAGTTTTATAATAAACAAATCATTAAAAATTGAAGAAAGTAACAAAAGACATTCTTTAAGTCAATAATCAGTAAACATACAATTCAAATTAAGAAGAAATAACTGACATGCCTATTTATAATCTGATAGTCTTTATAATTATTTTTATATTTATAGCATTTTTGTTTAGTTTTTAAAATTACAATGTGTCTTTTGAATAGTTTTTGTTTTTCTTGCTTTTATATATAGTTGATGTATTTAAAACTTGAATTTCTTTTTAACAATAAAAAAATCTATTTTCAGATACATTTCATGTGACTGCTGAACAGAACGATGATGCCAAGACTTGGTCACTGTCCGGATATTATTGGTTGACCGTCACTCCAGAAATCATCACCATCAAATCTATCGAGGATAATTCTATACACGAGTGGAACTTAAACTTTATAAAGAGATTCTTCATGGACAAAATTGATGTCAATATCCTCATCATAGAAACAGGATCGTAAGTTTTATTTATAATTTATTATTTATTTATAACCATTTTTAACACAAGGACAGTGGTATGGCAGCCAATACGACAACTATTAACTAATGACAGAAATATGTTAAAGTTTGCTTATTTTGTGGCCGTGTCTTCATATGCAGATGCCATTTCAAGAGGAAAGTATATAAGTAACAATTTGTTTTATTGTGGAATGTGAACTTTGCTTCAATTAAACCATTTCAGTTGTCTCCTTGTACTTTGATTGTGGTGTCGATTGGGAGAGGTATTGTTTTCGATTATCGGTCGTGTCAAATAAAAAAAAATGGTAATTACAACTTTTGCACTAGTCCCTTAAACCAGACTAAGACTCAAGTGAACAAACAAAATCTAGACAGAGTCGTCCTGTTAAATGGTACCCCGTGAACTTGCACATTAACCGGCGTTGACGTAGTACAAAGCAGAGTTCAAATAAATATCACATCAACAAGATCTTGTCATTACTTAGTACTTATGCATGTAATAGTTGCCACTGGACGTTAAACATTCGATCATTATAATCATCGCTTCAAATAATATACCTATTTCTATGATGTAGCAGTACACATATATATACATAAATCTTTTGCATTACCACTCAATTGTATTAATAAATCAAAACTAAAGCACAGTTTTCAGATTGATATCATTTGAAAGATTTCACTTTTAGTAACATTCATAATTTTAATTATTCTGTTACAGGATTTCTGAATTTGGAGAAGCACATTTCCGGTTTAGATCAACTTGTGTACCCGATATATTAGCTGTTATAAAACAGAACATTCAAAAAGCGATAAAGTTGAAGACGCAAAGAAAACGAAATACTAATTCTGATTCGTGTGCCATT